ATGTGATGTCCAACCCGGCTTACATTTTTTGCCTGTGCTGCAACACAGCGTCGCAAATGTAGATCCAGCGAACGTTGACGTTGAAGGAATTCAGGTAAACGGCAGCAAAACCCGAACGCTGACATAGAGGGGTAGAGTATCTAGAGTGAAGTTCCGCGTTGTAATTGCGACAAGGTACGTGAGCGTTGCCCGCGACGGAGCCGAAACCGCTATTGGAACAAGCTCGTGCGGTGATACTGGTAAACGCGACCGTGTTGATGTTAGGAATTTCAAATGCGAGGCGGCTGTGGCACCAAAGACCCCAATGGAATTTCGCTCGAATCCGGCCGGACCGCCGTCTCCATAATCATAGGCAATTCTCCTTGCCTGTAGTATGGTTCGTCGAGATGAGACAATTCAAGTTAACAGGAGCAGTATTACAGCCATGGGAGCTGAAAGAATGCAGGCAGCTGATCGCGAGCGACTGAGGAAGTCACGCCGTTCTTGCTGCAGCCCGTATCCTCCGGCAATTGGAGCGAGATTGGACCCGGTAGAAGCGGGGATCGACTGGATTCGGCATGCTCGAGCTGGTGGGTGAGGGGCAACAGGCCGAAGGAGAAAGGAGTAGTAGAGAGACCCTGGAAGGCGCTGCGCATCGGAGAGTATAAGTATGTTGCCAAGATGCTGGCAGCCTATGGGGGTTGCTGATCCACCGCCAACGGGCCTAGGAGTGGATTCCAGATCGGGCAGCCAGCCGGTAACCACCAGATGCACCAACTGAAATTGGGCTGTAGTGAGGCTTCGGCCGTTCGACTCAAGGGGGGGTCGGGATTAAAATTTCGTACGTGGGGTAGGGGGGGGGGGGGGGGGTCCCGGGAGGGCTGAAAAAAAATTCTAGGGTATCTTAATGCAAAGCTTCAGAAAGCTTCAAAATGATGTTTAGTTACTTGAAAATGGGTTAAAGAATGCTTCTCGCCATCATACAGTCCCAAATCAGTCTCCTATCCCGATTAGGTGGTCCAGCCTCGCAGGTTCGAAATATTTTTCACTCATTCTGGCATTCATCTGACCATGAAAACTTCAAGAATCAATTAAAAAGACAATATTGCACTCATATATCCTTATTTCTGCCCTTCAACTGCACCCTGGGTGTGAACTCTTACTACTGAGCATAAACAGTTGGTGACAGGAGGTGTACAGGTCACGGTAGAGCGCTAAATGGAGCGACTGATAGCAAAAAAACTGTGAAATAACATAACATATGGCTCCATAAATGTTCCGGCAAACGATTCAGACCATGATTCAACGATGGTTGAGGTTGGTGCCGAAACGGGGAGGTGGCTGTGAGAGCGGAGTGTGCGGCCCGGAGCTAGGGGTGGGAAACTCCTTCCCTATATGGCAGGAGAGGGGGGGAGGGGGGGTCCAGCCGAGGTCGAAAAAAAATTATCGACCCCATATCCGATTTTCGAAAGTTGAACCCCCCTTGGTTCGACTGGACATGCCAGCTGGGGACCAGCGGGACCCACCTCAGGCTGTTAGCTTGGTTCTCGCTTCACAACTTGAAGTCAGGCCAATATAAAGATCTCCCTGGACCAATCTGAATATTTAAATGCTGTTATACTTGTATACCGCAGTCAAAAACTGTGTCTGATCACGCGCACTTGAGTTTCGGGATGGCGGGTCTTGGGTCCGCCGCAGATAGTGTGACTTGCGTGATGAGACCTATGAGATCCCATTACTTGATGACCCTCCGTAACCTCGCATGAGTCTCAAGATTCTTATTTGTAAGTGCATCAATCACACATAAAGCATTGCCAAGTACTGGCGATCAACAGTCGGTGGTGAATCCCAGTCAAAAGTCCACGGGATGGAATGCAATGAAACGAAATAAAATGTGAAATATTCAAACCATTTCGCCGATTCTCAAATAATCTAAAAGTTGCACAAATTTGCGGTATGGCACGAGCTCCCTTGTGATAGTTTGAGCATCTGTTTGATGCATCTCAATTTATCACACACTATAGCCTGAGGTACTGCGCTATCAAGAAAATGCATTGTAATAATCTGAGAACATTTGTAGAGCCGGTGTGCAATTGCGGAATGGATTGAGATTGAATATAACAAATTATGTAATAGTAGGTATATAATATTTTTGGCGCACGCAATCCCAGGGCCCCAGCACGCAATCCCAGGCTACACCATACCCTCCTGTCCCAGGGAAGACCCAGAAGTTTCGGCAGCCGGACCAAGGCGAGCAAGGCCGACTGCTTCGAATAGCGCCGACCTCGGGGGGGTCGAGCGGTGCGGGTGTTGGTGCTAGAGCGCTGGATTAGGAGCTGGTACCGGGGGGCAGGCGCTGGTGCAAACTACGAGACACTTGCAACGACGTGCTTGCAACGGGTTAGCAAAACATAAGGGGCAGAGGACGTACACGCACCTTCTGGAGTCAGTTGAGGTCCTGCGCTACTCTCCGGCGCCGTGATCCCATAAAGTATTCTCGCGAGCTGGAAGAACAAGTAAAATGTGAGATACCCGCAACGACGCGCTTGCAATGGGTACATGGGGGGCAGATGTATGCGAACCTTCCGCACTATGGGCCAGCCTGTAGCGCCTACGGTGCCTAACGGGAGTGTTGCTGGAGAAGAAATAAGTATGCTGCACAACGCTGATAAATGATACATACGTGGGTTATTGACTTTAAGAAGCGGCGCAAGTCTGACACCGGCTTGATCAAAATGAGGTCGAGAGGAAAGACATACCGAAGGATCGCGGCAGGGCCGGGGGCTGCCTTCTTCTCGTGGATGCCGCGTCGGCCTTATAGGCACAGGCCCCGTATTCCCTGCGCCAGCGAATCAGTCACAGCACGATATGACCGCCGACCGGCGCACACACCTCCCGCGCGCCTTCCCCACTCGTGACGCCACGCGCCCATGCGTGCACCCGTCTGAATGCGCACAAAGAACAGCAGGCGCGCTGGCGTACCATGGCCTGTAGTAGTGGTGTGGCGACGCGAGCGCGGAGGCGATCTGCAAACACCGTCAGCATCAGCAGAAGCGAGAGGCCAGCGCGCACGCGACGCGCGACACACCGAAGCGAAGTGCCGCGCCTGTCGCCGCGAGATCGCGAGCACGCGTGTGTACGAGGTGCGCGACCGCTCGCCGGCGGTGCACACAACAGTCCACCCTGCGCGCGCGGACCCGCACCAGCGAGGACACCCGGCACCGCGTACGTGTCATCTGTGCGGATAATCAGCATCAGGCACCATGCAGGCAGGCACGTGCTCACCGTCACCCTGCACGACTAATCGGCTTGAGCAGCACGCGCGCACCCCACGAAGCGCGGTGCGCCATGGCTGCACGCCGCGCTGTCTCAGCGCCGCGGCTGGCGCAGCGACCCTCGTCCTCGCCGCTGCCGCCTTTGATCTGCCTTGTGCTGGCCTTGGGTCCGGGTCGCGCTCCTGGCGATGCTTCGCGGAAAAGAGAGGGCAGGGAGAGGAGAAGCGAGACGCACGGATGATGGCCTGCGCACCGAGCGCGATGGCCTTGAGGATGTCAGGGCCCGTGCGGACGCCCGAGTCGAAGACGGTGAGGCGCCCGGTGGCCTGCGCGGCGCGGATCGCGGGCGAGTGCATGATCGCCGCGAGCGCGTACAGCGACGGGAGCGCGCCGACGAGCTGGCGGCCGCCTGCACACGCGTCAGCACCCACGGTGGCAGAGAAGGAAGGAAACGGTCGCACCGTGGTTCGAGACGATGATCCCGTCGGCGCCGTGCGCGAGCGCGGCCTCTGCGTCCTGCTTGCGACCCCAGGTACACGCCGTCCCGAACGTCCGCGTCGCCCGCGCGGAAGCGCGCGTCCATATCCGCGGAGATGTACGGCCACTTGGGCATTTTGTTGGCGTCGACGATGGGCTGGTGCCCGAGGCGGGCCATGAACACGGGGTCGGGCGTGCCGACCTGGACGCCGATGCCATGCATGAAGGGGACATACGAATAGTGGTCAGTCGGGCCCGGCTTCAGGCCCGAGCCCAGGCCGAGCCCGGGTGTGGGCAGCCCGAGCCCGTCATCGGGCCGGGCCTGGGCTTTATCAGGGCTCGGGCCCGGGCTTGAGTTTCAGAAAGCCCGGGCCCTAGGGCCTGAGCCCGGCTGAGCCCATCGTGCCGTATGTCGTCCCCATTTGGCAATTTGATCCGGCGGCAAACACGGCAACGATCGGCTAGACTCAGCCAAGTGAAAATCACCTATGTAATACAGCCACTCACGAATATTTTTGCATATATTCGGCTGTGTGGCATTTCACAGAGCATATTGAATGAAGTAGTGTGGTGGTAACCTCTTTACATGTGTAGAAAACCTTTACTCAGACTGAGTCGACAAAGTCGGGCCTGAAGCCCGGGCCCTAGGGCTTGGCCGGGCCTGGCTCGGGCTCAGGCCCGGGCTTGGGGTTTTCGTGAGCCCGAGCCCACCAAAGCCGGGCCCGAATCCGGGCTGGGCCCGGGCAGCCGGGCCCGACGGACCACTACATACGAAGACGCGAGGTCTTGCGCGCGCCACCCGAGGAGCGAAGAGGCAGGTGCGCAGGACAGCACGGCGCACGCAAGTGGAACAAGTCGTGATTTGGAGTCGACTGGGACAGAATAGGCTGTTGAATAGGCCGTTGTAAACAAAAGAGGGCCGGATGTGGTGGTAAAGAGGAGAAAATCGTGACGTGGTCAACATCATGTGACTTCGGACTTGTGTTTTTTTCATCTACAACAGTGAACGAAAACAAAAGCTACCTGTACGCGAACGATGGTGAGGGTGATAAGACGAGATGGTTTGACCATACCGATAAACAATCTCAAATCATTCCGAGATGGTTTGATCATATCGATAAACATCTCAAATCATTCCTGTCGGTGACCGCTTCCGGCATTCCATCTCAACTCATTTCAATCTATCCGACGGACTTTTGACTGGGGGTGAATCTCCTTCCTTAGGACCTTCGCATCGTACTTGATGATAATAGTTACATAACTTCGGAAGGTTCGATGGTGTAGTTGGTTATCACGTTCGCTTCACATGGTCGAGGTTATTAACATGGCGCGAGAGGTCTCCGGTTCGAGCCCGGGTCGAATCATTTTGTGATATGACTCTTTTTGATGTTTCTGGTTAACCTATGTGCTTGAACTACTTATTTTTTCCACTGAAGGTAGCGTTGTTACGGTAGGTAATTGTGAGCGTAGCGAGCATCTGCCATCACGTGCGAGGCAGAACAAATTGCAACCAAACGCGAAGCTCATGATCAACTCATGTCAGTGATGGCCCGGGATCGCTGCGCGACCTATCCAAAACTCAGTCAATTCCTGCTGCATCTCCCCAGGAAATTAGTTGGTGCATTCTTTGGTAGCAATGAACATTATAAGGCCGTAATGTAAGGCCGACCAGCGGCAAGGCCCGCTACCGACTCCCGAGTTAAATATTGTCTCACATTCCATGTATATTATAAACAGAAACACAGGAGTACTGGCACCCAGGCTCAGGTGTCCACGTCCGGGATATGTAGCAACTTCCAGGAAGGCAACTTCTGGACAGAATATGATAAAGTTACATGCAGTCCAGCCGACGCGTACTTGAAATGGTCATCTGCAGGTCATCGGTCTCATAGTGCCATAGCTCCGCAGACCTGCATTATCGTCTGTGGAGCCTTCATCAAGTGTGGTAAGTAGACAGAGGAATAGTGCAGAAGGTCATGGACACGTCAGGGAAACTATGTCGAGTTTTTTCGCAAATTCAGCCAAGGCGCAAAGTTCATCATCGTGTCCAGGCGATTCAAGATACTGGCGGACGAAGTGGGCTGAAGCTTGCAAAGAATCGGTAGTGCCTGAGTGCTGTGGTGCTGTTTGCTCAATGAAAAAGATGCCAGTTGGGTATACGGCCTAGTGCAGCATCTCGATTCGAACGAGGACTTGTATTCAACTTCGGCATATTATGTACAACAGGCCGAGAAATGTGTTTCACGCCATGCTGCCTTGCTTATCCTCTGTTGTCGCGCATGAAATACCGTATGTACACACCATCGACTTGGATGGCGTTGACTCTGCACGGCCCGGGGTTCCGACGTCCGAACATTTGACCACCCGAGTCGCATGGGCGACGCCAGCTTGAGAGAAGCGCTTATAAAAGAGGGAAAGTAATAAATTACTTAATAAAAGATAGAGTAACTACGTCCTGTTAAATCTGCGTATATAGCGGGCAAACCATCCCAATGTTCCTTCTCGCCTCCATTAATCATGAGCATGCAAAAGGCTTTGTATGTCGCCATCCACCATGCGGCAATCCACGTTCTTTGAACCTGTCCCAGAATCATCATTTGCGCGCTACGTTGGCGGCAAAGGCGAAATCGCGGGAATGCATCCGCCTCGACTTTTTGTTGCCATTTGCATTTGCAGAGGGTGAAACGGATGCCTCCGCATTAGCCTGGAAAGCGGCGAACGATTTGGCGGAATTCGGGTTCTGGTTGATGGAGAAAACCATCCCTTCCTGGCACTCGCTGACGAGACTGCAGCAGTGGATGAAACAAATGCGGTCAGTGGAGTAGTACACAACTCGGCAACGCGAGACAAGCCTACGCATTTTGCTTGGAGAAGAAGAACAGCGGGGTGCTGGCATTATTGAGCGTGAAGCTGAAAACGGGGAGAGCGGTCGCGTCGGGGGCGACGGCCTGGAAACCCGAGTCGACACCTCCTGCAAGTGGGACACAGGGCGAGGCGAAGCTGGATTGAGTGACGCTCTGGAACATCGTGTCGGGACAAGGAGAAGGAGAAACCGATTGGGGATGGGGACGTACATGGTTCTTGCTCTGGAACTGGAACGTTACAGTATCTCCGACTTGGGCTGTGATGTTGGAAGGCGAGAACGTCAACTGTTGTTTGCAATCGGCTTAGCAAATGACGACGTGGTAGGTAGGATAATAGACGAAACCCACCGAGTTATTCTGCCCAACCAGAACCAAAATATCGGACCCTGAGGACGCGGGGGCGCTGGCAGACGACTCGGAGGCCGGCGCACTCTTCTCTGCGGCGGCCTGAAAGGCGGCGAAGGAGTCGGCAGAGTTGGGGTCCGCGTTCACGGAGAAGACCATGCCTTTCTGGCATTCACTGGCGACACTGGATTTCAATCAGATCAGCAAACTTGAGGGATTCGAACGAGCAAAGGCGGCGCACGCAGTCTGCTTCGAGAAGAAAAACAGCGGCTTCGAGGCGTTGTTGATGGTGAAGCTGAATTCGGGCACCTCTGTCGCGTTGGGGGCGACAGGCACGAAACCTGAGTCAACCCCTCCCGCCAGTGGTGTGCAGGGGGATGCAAAACTGGACTGGGTGACGCTCTGAAAAAAAAATGTCCATATTCCAGCGGAGACCGAGACGGATTGAACGTACGTGGTTCTTGCTCAGGAACTGGAAGATCACGGTGTCTCCGACGTTGGCAGTGATGTTTGAAGGCGAGAAAGTCAGCTGTTTGCCATTCAGCCATGTTAGCCAATGTCCGCGTACTAGAATACGGGGTGAAACATGGCACCTGATTATTCTGTCCGACCTGAACGAGGATCTTGGATCCCGAGGACGCGCCGGCCGTCGGGGTGGAAGAGGATGAGGCCTCCGCGTTGGCCTGGAAAGCGGCGAACGATTTCGCAGAATTCGGGTTGGCGTTGATGGAGAAGACCATGCCCTTCTGACATTCGTTTACGAGACTGGATTCAATTGGATAAGCAAATTCGACAGAGCATGAGTGTGCGTACGCGGCCTGCTTAGAGAAGAAAAACAGCGGTGTGGACGCATTATTGATCGTGAAGATGAACTCGGGCAAGTTCTTCGCGGCGGCGGCGACGGGCTGGAACCCCGAGTCAATGCCCCCTGCCAGTGGGAGGCAAGGGGAGGCAAAGCTAGACTGTGTGACGCTCTACGAGGAATGCGCTCAAATGCCTGCAAGGACCTAGTCGGATTGAACATACGTGGTTCTTGCTCTGGAACTGGAAAGTAACAACGTCTCCCACAGCGGCGCTTATGTTAGAAGGCGAGAAGACCAACTGTTTCGAATTCCCTCAGCGTAAATTCATGACGGCATTTGTGAAACGCACCTGATTGCCTGGTCCAACGAGAACGAGGATGTTGGACGCATAGGCCGACAGCGCGGGGGCGAGAACAGCTAACGCAACAGACAAACGTGTGAAGGACAACATGAAGCGAGCAGAAGAAAAAGAAGAAAAAAGAGAGCCTAGACAGAGAGGTGAGGCATGAACAAAAATGGAATTGATCTCTGCTGTTGAACGCACTCTGCTCCTGAAAGAGGGTTGGGGGAAGGAAAGAATGAAGGAATGTAACGGACATGCCAGATAATATAGTTATTTGAGTCACCCACGTCATTCATCGGGAGAACGACGTGATGGTCGTGAAGACGGACGTAACACGTGCACGCTGTGACTCGCCACTTGTATTACAACAGTGGCAAGTATCTCGCCGCTCGTTTAGTTTTCTGTCCCGGCGGTGGCCGCATCGCATGGACAGCACATTCAATTCACGTCGTGGATGTAGTGAAGGGCTAAGCGCTAAGCCGCATCAACACGCGCTATATGCGCGATCATCTCCCGGTGTAGGGGGCAAGGAGGATCCAACCAGTGCCGAACAATTGAGATGAGGATTCTAGTACGAAGACACGGCGACCGATCATCAGCGGCATCGCGAAGAAAACCATTGAAGAGAATTCTACCGAGATCGAGACACTTGCAGCCCCGGAGGACATGCGGGATCAGGCACGTCCGAGGAGTCTGCGCGGGAATTGCATCAGTGATGTGAGACCTTGTTTCCGATCCCGATCAGGCAATTTGATGGGGGCTGCTCGATGCCGTGGCGGAGGCGGGCACGTGGTCGTGTAAGAAGTGATCGGCCCCAATGACGCGGCATACGTCATCGCGTGACTTCTCTTCCCCACTCTTAAAACGTGAGGAGTTCCAGCATTGGAAGCTTAAGAACGAACTCATGTCGGCCGAAGACACGAAACGACCACTCTCGCGCGACCCGTCGCCGTCCCGTGCTTCCCGTGCCCCGTCCCGACCAGAACACGAACGACAATCACCGGACGGGAAACCGACCACGCGCGAGCCATCGCCGTCGCCTGCGTCGAGGTGCCGTTCCCAATCCCCACAACCACCACAAGAACAATCACCGGATAGGGAACGGGTGCAAACGAGAGGAGGGCGAGCAGGCGAAGGAAGGGGGGGAGACGGAGAACGAGAAATGGAATGGCCGCAGCAATCGTCGCGCCGGCGCGAGCGTCGCGGCCGGCGGCGGAGGCAGTCACCGGCTCCGTCTGATTCTGCGTCTGCCTCTTCGTACCGCTCCGAGCCACCTCCCCCATCCCAATCGCAGCCGCAGCAGCCACCCGCAGACACGCCTGCTGCTCCCCAACCACAGTCCCAGAAGCAACAAATACCCGACCAGGCAAGCCAGCTCCTCGGAAATACCCTTGGCTCCTTCCTCAGCCCCGGGGGCGGCGGCGGGGGGCTCCTCGGCGGACTCCTCGGCGGCGGCGGCGGCGGGCAGAAGAAAGAGGCGCTCAAGCTGCGGCTGGATCTCGAGGTGGATGTGCAGATCAAGGCGAGTGTCCACGGGGATGTGACGCTGTCGTTGCTGTGAGTTTTCTCTTCTCTTTTTTTTCGTCTCCAACCCCCGTTCTTTCTTCGCCCCCCCCTTCGCCCGATGATGACAACGTGACTCACCAGATCCGAGCCAGTGACTGACAACTTCCCCGGGGGCGTGAGGCGCCATCCCGGGTTCGACCATCCCGGGTCCTTGTTCGAGTAGCATTAGAACCAGCCGCTGTCGTATTTTCGGGCTCCGAGTGTGCGGGCTATAGACGCCGTCTACATATCATTGTCGTCATGGGTTCGCTGCGCGCCATGTAATGGCCAACTCTTCTGATTCCCGATCGCCTCGTCTTTCGCATTGGACCCCAAATTTGACTCCATACTGGGCTTCGCATACCTCACCCAGGGCCGAGGTTTAAGCTGACTGGCGCGCGCATGGTGGCGTTACCTTTGCGTACTCATCCGTCTTGCGTTGCACCCTAACGGTTATTTTAAAA